TCAGCTCTATATCACATTTGGGACCATTATTGAGTGGTCTGGGTTAGTGTTAATAAAGAGATGATATGAAGACAGTGCCAGTCTGTGGCCTGCTTGTTTCCAAACAATATAAGTACAGAGGTTTTGCAACACTTTTTGCGGAGTAATTTTATGTCTATGAATTGAATATTTAAAATATTGGAAAATCACTTGAGGCTTGCATTTTGCATACTTCTTTATTTTTTTTTGAGTTATTAACTTTTATTCTATTTTACAAAAGTATCATTTCTCAGCAAATTCGAAATTTAACAACTGCTCTCTTACCACAGATTGAGAAGGACGGTTCTAAGATCAAATTTCATGAGGAAGAATTTATTTTGTAGTTGTTTTCTAAATTAAACATATGAAATAGTACAAATTTTGACAGCAATCCTAGCAAGAGGCACCTGTAGGAGAGTCTGAGAGCGAGAGAGGAATCAGGTCAGGTTGCTGAAGACACAGCTCTTGTCAATCAGCCCTATTTATACAGGTACCCTCTCTAGGTTCTGGGAAGCAATCTCTTTCCCTTGACGTTTGAGGTTCCAGGATGGTAAAGCCCTGCTGCTGCTAGCCATGGGGTACAGTACTACCCTTGTTTTTCCTATACCTGTCCAAGCCTTCATACATATAATTAAAATTCTTCCAAAATTTTCTAGTTAAGTGTTACCACTATTACCTGGAAGCCTCTGATTAATCATTGCTCCTCCATCATTTCCTCTCTTGTTTTACAAAATCACATCTTTTCCTTTTGAAGCTTAAAAATACCTCAGGCCATGAACCTGAGGATATCCAATCTGGATGGATCATTTAACAGCTAAATGAAATCTCAAGGCTTCAAACATTTTGGAAGATCTACAAGCACTTGCTGACTGCTGTCAATGGATGATCTTTGCAGATGGAAACAAACAGGACTCCTAACAGCTACTCAATCCAGCCAATGTATGGCATTTATGTAAATAGGAACTGGATGACGTCCAGATATAATCTCAATTTCCCTAAATCTCCCAGGAAATAGACTCAGAGTGGACAGAGCTTGGTGATCACTTGATGGGGACATCACTCCTGTCCACATACACCATCTTTGCTCCCCTTTCCCATTGCATGGAATCCTATCTAGTATTGGCAAAGAAATATATATATACATATATATATATATGTATATATATATATATATGCCCACATGTTTTTTTGTTTTACACCTGGACCATGTTTTTTTTTTTTTAACTTAAAATCAAGAATTGTTTCTTGAATTCTTTTATTTCCATCATTACGCAGTTGATGGGAAAGCTTCAAAAACATGGGAGAAGAAATTCAATAGAGCATGAAGTGATAGGAAACCTATCAGTATACACCCAATTGCATTTTCTTGTCACATAAATCTTGATAGCTTCTACTTCAGAATGTTAGAGCTGGTACATATGTTTATCTCTCTTTTCCTTCCAAAAGTGTCCTTGAAATAACACTATAAAACTATAGTGTTATACACCTAGAGTACAATGGCAAGCTAAAGAGTTTAACAGACAGCTGTAAAACCAAAGGCAAATACAATCAAATTAATAAAGGAATCATATTGGAAGAATCCAGAATTCAGGATATGTGCAGGAGAAAATTACAACAGAGACAGGAACTCTTCTTGTGACAGACCAAAACCTCTGATAAAATTGATAGGTACAGAGACCAATAGTTAGAAAAGAGCAGCAATCTGGCTTTTCCAGGAATATGCCTTCAGTAAGGCCTGAAGCCCAAATCTGCCAATAGGGTGGCAGGCCTCGAATTTACATGTAGTCTCCTCAATCTTTTCATTGTACTGATAAATACTTTGAGAGTGTTACCAAGTACAGTAAAGTCAAATGTTAAGCAGTCAGGCACATAGCACAAATCTCTAGAGAGAGAAGTCATAAGGGACCCGCGAGGTATGATTCCTCTATGAGACTATCAAGGATACTACCCTGAAGAGTCATCACTCTGCTCAAGTAGTGTTACTGAAGCCATGCAACTTCATGAGAATTTGAGACCAAGAGGGTCTTAATCATCTAACTGGTAGCACTGCTCTGTTTGCTACACGATATAGCCAGCTTGTGCACAGTCATGGTTCCCTTACATGCTTAAACAAACTTGTATACTAGAAACATTTATTCTACTTCAAATTATACTATATTATAGATTGCAAAGATTTACCAGAATCCAATATCTAGTATTCTGCACCATTGCCAAGAAGACAAATTAAATATAAACAGTTCCCAACTTAAAAAGAAAAAGAAAGAAACTTGTATACTCTTTGCTTTATGTATGAGCAATGTCCTGCCAATCTCATCATTATTCTATTTTGGCTACTTGCAGATTAGTATCAGGGGTGGGAGAGACTCAAACAAATGTCAGGTCACATTCAGATGCAGTATAATATAGTAGTTGTGAGCAGAAGCCCTAGTTCCCAACTGTCTTAGTGTAAATCTTCTCTCTGGAATTTAGAAAGTATGTAATATTAACCTCTCACATCTCAGTTTTATCATCTCCAAAATGAGAAGAATACTTCAGTTCTTAATACACTAAAGATTCTTAAAAGATTTCAATGAGCTAACATATACAAAATCCTATGTACTTGTCATAGAGAAAATGTTTTAAATTATCATTTAAGATAGTTATTTTAAGACAGGGGTCAGCAAACCTTTTCCGTAAAGGGCCAGATATTAAATATTTTGCACTTTACAAGCCAAATACAGCCCCTGTTGTATGTATGTGTGTGTGTGTGTGTGTGTGTGTGTGTGTGTGTGTGTGTGTGTGTGTGTTTACAACTCTTTAAAATATATTTTAAGAAAATGCTTAGATCACAGGCCATACAAAAACAGGCTGCAGGTCTAATGTGGCCCATTGGTTATAGTTTGCCCAATCTCTGCCATAAACATTCTTTCACTTTCTATTGAAGGAATAAACATCCCATTCCTTTCTTATTAAGAAATGGCAGCCTGAATCTGAGATCTAAATCACCCGTAAATATGAATAAAAAGATAAAGGAAACTTATTTCTCCAAGATTAGTAGATGTAGAGAAAACAAGTGCATTGCCAGTCTTTTCCTAATCTCAGTTGGGCCCAATCCAAAGAGTCATCTCCTCTAAACAAAATTATGCCTGGGAGAATAAATTATTTATCCTCTATGGATGAATTATGTGGACAACATTAAGATTCCATATCATTAGGAACCATGTATCATTCTGGAAATGAACTTATAGATATCAACTTTTCAGATACTTTCTGCATAAACATTTTTCTACTTAGACTGAATAGGAGGAGTTGTTAAATGGATAATGTTGAGCAGAGGGAGAGCATAGAAAGGAGTTAAAAAACCAGATTAAAGTTAGTAAAACATTAGGAACTCCAGCATCAGGAATGTGGGAAAGGAACAAGCAGGGGGAACAGGCAGAGAACTGGTACAACGGAATAAAGCAGGCTGTCCTCAGTCTGCAGCCAGGCCTTGCCCCAAGAGACTGAAGGTAAGACCAGCAGTCTTTTGTAGCAGTGATATTTGAATAAATTGGGTATAGGGCCTCACAAGACCCTGAAAGAAAATCATGTTCCCTAGATGGATTGGACACATAAATAAGAGATCATAGTTTTATAAGGTCTCTAACAGATAATCTGAAGCATTTAAGTTATTATCCCTTTGGTAGAGAGATGCTTAAAATTCAACACAGATTTTTAAGAACAAATTTTTTATGATAGTCAAAATCAGCCCGTCAAGATTTCAACAAATCTTGCCTGGTCAGCCTGTCGAGATTTTGGCAAATGCATATTCTAAATGAATGGATCTTTTGAAGCTCAATTTAACCAAATCATAAGAATAAAATAATTAGGGTTTTATTTTAGGGGGATCAAGCAGATAATACAAATTAACTTTGGAAAGGTAGGTATATGATGCCTTAATCTAGGCAAATATATGTGTTTGCATAGGGATGGTTGAGGTGAAACTTTCCATTGGTAAAACTTGATGAATTTTCTGATTTTGGCTTATGTGAATGTGAAAAGAATTATGTATAGACAAAAAATTCTATAATTAAGATTTTAGTGTATTTAAATGTAGATTAAATATAATATTTAATATGAAATATATTAGATTCCAATGTGCTATAACTTACTGTGAGTTGAGTCTTGTAGAATGGAACAATATGATCTATAGAAATGTTTCTACCTAAATTTGGGGGTTACAAAATATTCTGATGATTTTTGACCTTTATTTAGAGTATTATCTGACTCTCTAATTGAAAAATTGGACTAATAAAGTAATATTGAGCTAATAAGTATTTATATATATTCACTATAATTTAATGCCAATATTATTAGAAATAAAAGATAAATGTTGACAAATGTCCATGGAAATTCAAAGTTAAAAAACAGTTTTAGGCAAAAATCTCAAAGATCTGTCCTTCTTTCTTCAAATGTGTATCATTCAATTTAAAATATTAGGTGTCTTTTGCCTGTATACTCTTTATAATTCCTTGGGAAAAGATAGAATGTATTTTACTTTTCAGATAGTTTTTCCTCTAAAATACTTTGGGGAGTTGTGTGGGTAGACACTTCTAGGTACCTGAAACAAGGGACAAAAATAGAGTAAGAAAATACTTCTAAATACAGGACACAAAATGCTATTTGGTATGACAATAAATAACATCAAATCTACCAGAGGAAGGAGAAATTCGATTAAAAACTCTCAGTGCTAAAATAAAAACTTGGCTAAATCAAAAAGAGCAATATCGAATTGTTACCTTTTATTTAAAAAGAAAAGTAATATTCTGCTCTGTAATTCATGTGGCTTCATTTGCATGCTGCACCACCAATTCTCATGTAAAATACTAAAATCTCTACTTCTAGCCCCTACATTTGGTCTTTGTTACTATTTTTTAACAAAAGGGACTAGGGCCCCTTGGGAAATGTGGCTGATTGCATGTTAAAGGCAGTGGAACCCATGATGAGACTGAAACATCTTATTAAAATTAGAAAGCAAAAGACATTTATTTTTGTTTTTGTACCTGTTTGTACCACTTAGATGTATATTACTGTGTCTGCATATGTATAAGCATATAGTAACAAATAAGTGAATAACAAAATACAAGTATTACTTGTTATATAATAAAAGTTCATACTGTATAATGATAATCAGGGTGAAAGCACTGCCTCTTTCATGTACTATGTCTTCTCACAGACCCACAGGAAGAAACTTACTTAACAGCAAGCACTATGTTAAATATTATCAATGACTGACATATGAAGTGAAACTTCTCTTTCTCTAAACAACTATTAACCACTCCTTTAATTGTCCTTTGTCTTACTTCTGATGACCAAAGAAGTGGAAGGTGGACTTTCTGGGCATCATCAGCATACTTCCTCCTCCAGTATTTTCACCCGCACAAGCTTCCTGTTCCTCTGAGATGCACTGACAGTTTGTAGTCTGTGGTATATTCTTAACCACGTTATTGCCTCTCTTAGATACTCCTGAAGCTCACACACAGAATATCCATTTATTTGTCCACTAAGAAGATGAAAAACTCTTGATTTTATTTCCATTGGTGAACTCGTAGAAGGCCTTTCTGTTTATCAAAAAAAATCAGAAGGTGACAAACTCTTGGTGTTGATATATTCATTGTTGAACTGGTAAAACGGCTTTCTGCTTTTAACACAATCATAATTTATTGTAGTTAACTATTTCCTTGATGTAAATACTCTCATTATGCTAACTGCAAACTACCAACAGTTTTACAACTGGCTCCAAAATTCCCAATCAACAAGCATCTCTTATGAATGTGAGCTGGCTGCAACATACTAACGGTCCTGCTTTCTTCGTTTTTGCCTCATCTCATCCTTTCTGTGTGGCTTTTTACTTGCAAAAAAAAAAAAATCCACACACACACAACAAATCACATCTGTTTGCCTTGGGAAACATTATGCCATATAAATTGACAGAACCCGCTCTCTTTGCCACTCCCTAAATTCTACTGTCAGTGTACACACCCAGGGTTGGTAGCTGAGTCTGAAACTGTCAACCTGGCATTTTTCAGGGCAGTTTTATATATTGTCTTTACCAGTGTTGATGAAAAGAAAATGAAATGGAAGAGAAGAGAAAAGAAGAGGAAGGAAAGGAAGATAGGATGAGAGTAAAGGAAAGGAAAAGGAAACCAAGAAGGATCATTCTCTCCTGTCTTTTACAAACTTACTACTTGTCTTGTATTACAGTCATTTTTGTACATGGGTTATTTTTCCAGATGTTAAAAATGTTTTGAGTATTTAATCTGTATCTCATTTATTTCTGTCTCCTACAGCACCTAACTAAATGTCTAGCTTATTTAATGAGGCTTTGATAAATATTCATTGAAAAAACAGAATTTAAAAATATAGAGTAAGAGAATCACAAGTAAAAATGATTACACAGAAAAGGCTTATTTCAATATCAAGCCAAATGAATAAGTGATGAACATACTTATTTCCAGATTTCACTTTGTTTGCCATCAATTCTCCACCAAGCAAAGATAAGTTGATATTGCCAGCCTGTCGTGAGCTTGCTTGTAACAGTAGACATATAGCCTTTGCACATTCCTACAGCAGGGAACATAGATTTGACTGCCTTAAGGTAATAACTTTGTGTTTCACTGAGATAGCCACTCTTAGCTGATAATAGATCCATTCTCTGTTGGAAGACTTGTGCTCAGAGTAATATTCTTTTATTCCAGATAAAAAGGGTAGCACCCATAGACATGTTCAGCATGTTTTGACTATTAGAATGAACTGGACTTGGGGTGCCTCAATGTGTTGTCCAGGTTGCACTTGAAATTTTAGTCTCAAGTGATCCTCCTGCCTCACAAGTACCTGGAGCTATAAGCACACACTACTGTACTTGGCCATGAATTTGGTTTTATTACTCTTATCATTAAGGTACTGTTGAGAGATGCCTTTTTACTGATAAGATCAGTTGATTCAGTGCAGACCGTTCAGTGCTAAGTTCCTGGAAATATTTCACAAACTTAAAATTTTAAAAATTGTTAAGTAAAAATAAACTATACTCTTAGAAAGAGAAGACTAATATAACTTTTTTGTTATTGTTCACTTGCTTAATATAGTTTTTGTTCATTGCTTTTGGTGTTTTAGCAATGAAGTCCTTGCCTATGCCTATGTCCTGAATGGTTTTGCCTAGGTTTTCTTGTAGGGTTTTTATAGCATTAGGTCTTATGTTTAGATCTTTAATCCACCTGGAGTTAATTTGAGTGTAAGGTGTCAGGAAGGAGTCCAGTTTCTGCTTTCTGCACATGGCTAGCCAGTTTTCCCAACACCATTTATTAAATAGGGAATCCTTTCCCCATTGCTTGTTTTTCTCAGGTTTGCCAAAGATCAGATGATTGTAGATGTGTGGTGTTGCCTCTGAGGCCTCTGTTCTGTTCCATTTGTCTATGTCTCTGTTTTGGTACCAGTACCATGCTGTTTTGATTACGGTGGCCTTGTAGTATAAAGTCGGCAGCGTGATGCCTCCAGCTTTGTTCTTTTTGCTTAGGATTGTTTTGACTATATGGGCTCTCTTTTGGTTCCATACAAAGTTTGAAGTGTTTTTTTCCAGTTCTGTGAAGAAGGTCATTGTTAGCTTGACAGGGATAGCGCTGAATCTATAAATTACTTTGGGCAGTATGACCATTTTCATGATGTTGATTCTTCCCAACCATGAGCATGGGATGTTTTTCCATCTGAGTGTGTCCTGTCTTATTTCATTGAGTGATGGTTTATAGTGCTCTTTGAAGAGGTCCTTTACATCCTTTGTTTAGTTGTATTCCTAGGTATTTTATTCTCTTTGTAGCAATTGTGAATGGGACAGACCAATAACAAGGGCTGAAGTTGAGGCAGCAAGTAATAGCCTACCAATTTAAAAAAGCCCAGGTCCAGATGGGTTTACAGCTGAATTCTACCAGACTTACAAAGAGGAGCTGGTACCATTCCTTCTGAAACTATTCCAAAAATACAAAAAGAGGGAATCCTCCCCAACTCATTTTATGAGACCAATATCATCCTAATATCAAAACCGGGCAGAGATGTAACTAAAAAAGAAAACTTCAGGCCAATATCCATGATGAACATCAACGCAAAAATCTTCAATAAAATACTGGCAAACAGGATGCGACAGCAAATCAAAAACCTTATTCATCATGATCAAGTAGGCTTCAACCCAGGGATGTGAGGCTGGTTCAACATATGCAAGTCTATAAATGTAACCTATCATATAAATAGAACCAAAGACAAAAACCACAATTATCTCAATAGATGCAGAAAAGGCCTTCAACAAAATTCAACAGCCCTTTATGCTAAAAACCCTCAATAAACTAGGTAACGATGGTACGTATCACAAAATAATTAAAGCTATTTATGACAAACCCACAGCCAATATCATACTGAATGGGCAAAAACTGGAAGCATTCCCTTTGAAATCTTGCACAAGACAAGGATGCCCTCTCTCACCACTCCTATTCAATATAGTATTGGAAGTTCTAGCCAGGGCAATCAGGCAAGAGAAAGAAATAAAGCCTATTCAAATAGGAAAGGAGGAAGTCAAATTGTCTCTATTTGCAGATGACATGATTGTATATTTAGAAGACCCCATAGTCTCAGCCCAAAATCTCCTGAAACTGATAAGCAACTTCAGCAAAGTCTCAGGACACAAAATCAATCTGCAGAAATCACAAGCATTTCTATACACCAAAAACAGACAAAAAGAGAGCCAAATCAAAAGTGAACTCCCATGAACAATGAATCTTAAGCAAAATAACATTTCGTTATTGTCTGTAAATTAAATCAGAATCGAAATTGCAATTTCAATTCTGAGTAGCTAGTCTCATCAAGTTAGTGAGAAATTCAACCTCAGTTATTTCTAGGCTTTCTCCAACCTTCAGGTCTGTGCTGAGGTTACGGGTTTTACTCCATGTCTAAGCATTAGAACACTGATCACTAGAGGTATCTGTCCATATTGGTAAGAGCTGAATTTTGCTGCAGCCATGTGATATCATCAGATTCACTGGTGTGCCATTTCCATGCCATGCTTTGTGCTTCAAGAGGATCTTGAACAAGGCTGAGAACCCAAGCTTGGCAGCTAACTTTTGAGTGCTTCCAGGGAAGAAGTAAAAATCCCTTCTGTTCAAGGACAGGCAGACCTGTCCCTTACCCCCAACCTGGATAGAGCTCTTTTTCTCTTTTGAAACCTTCTGTCTTTCTTGGTTTCACACAGGGATACCAATTTCCTCTCCCTTCAAATTCTATTATCCTCAGTGGGCAAACAGAAGCCAGAAAACCCCTGCCAAAAACCTTTCATGTGGTAAGGAAGTAGGGAAATTGCTATGTGCTCGAATGAAGGACAGAGGAGGTGGAAAATTCAAAAAGAAAAATTAGCAACTCATAAATTCAATTAATATTTTAAAAAACTATCTTTCAAATATCTTCCTTCTGCTTAGGAAGATCTGTATTTATGGATCTCATCCCTTCAAACTAGGTGGTCTAGCTCTCCTACCCTCCAATTTCTTCCCTCAACATACTAGCTTAGGTATATTTCTGTCCTTTCTATCTACTTGCTTTTTGCCCAACAAAGATAATATTCTGCTTAAATAAAGTACGTAACTGCCTAAGTAATGTAAGTTAAGGGATACTAGAAAGAATCATCTTCATTCAAAGACACTTGTTTCTCTGTTATGAGGTGACTTCGTTGCTACCACTAGAAAACTAATGCTTTGGATTAAGGCATAGCTACAGGGTACATAAAAATCACCCATGGATTCAACTACTCATATATATGTATGTATGTCAGGCACTGTGCTAGGCACAAGATATACCACAACAAATTAGCATACATGGTTCTCCCTGTCTTGGAGCTTATAGTTTATTCATCAAGAGAGATATGTCAGTACTTATTTCTGAAATGATTAATCAATTACAATTATAAGTGTCATAAAAAAGAAGTGAAGGTGGGCATAAAAATATAGAACAGGGGAACTTTCTTGAGGAAGCAGCATTTAGTCTAAAATCTAAAAGTACATGGGAAGGAAGAAAAGAGAGTTTTAAAGCAGAGAAAACAGCATGTCTGGAGGTCTTACAATAAGCAGAATATTATTTAAAATTTTTTAAACAAAACAAACTAAAACAATGAAGAAGACCCGGATGGCTGAAGCCTAGAGATAGAGGAGAATGACTTAAGGTGAGGTCAAAAGGTGACCCAGGAGTTAGAATACGCAGGGCTGCATAAACCATAACAAAGGTTTTGGTCTTGATTCAACCCCCAACCCCCAACCCCCAAATGTCTTAAGCAGAGGAATACATGATCAGATTTCTATTTAATAATTCTGGCTGCTGTGCAGAGGAAGGCAAAAACTAAATATGTAAAACATTATGCCATTATCAGCTATTAGCATCCTAGTCTCTTAAATTCTTTCCAACTAGCTGTTGATACAAGAGTGCGTCATGAAAGCCCTCAGACAGGTCCCTCACAGATCCACATCCTCACTGAACTGTAGCATTCATTATCACCACCCCCTCCTGTTCTCATACCGTTTTACTTAAAAAGGTCCCT